GGGGCGGGGCGGGGCGGGCCCGGGCGGGGCGGGCCCGGACGGGAATATATAGTGCTTCATGACAGCCACTAACAAGGCTCGTGCCGCCGGCCGCGCTGCCCGCCGTGATTGATCGGTGGAACCAGGAGTGCGGCGGGGCGGAAGGAGTTGGGGGGAAAAAGTAGGGCGGGGGCCACTCGGCTGGGTGGACACATTCCACCCCATCGTCCTGGAGATCCCGACCAGCGTGACGTCACGATCACACTAACAAATACACACACACACTGAAATTTAATGCACTGGAATGACCACCACACGACGTGAAAGCGGCGGGCTCTTATAGAGAGCGTTTCAACGTATTGTCACATTAAAATTTTCAATGCATGTCCGTCAGTCTGCTATAATAGTCATTCCGAGTCATTCACGTTTTTGTGTCAGAAACCATACTGTTGTAGCCATTCTTAAGGTCACGAAGTGTAACGCGCTTAATCCTACTTGTGTGAAATGTATGTGACACAGTCCTTTAATTTGTGATTGAAATTTCCCCCATGCACTCCCATTTAATTAATTGAGTTTTACTGCACTTTGTATTTGTTGAATTCTGCACAACTTTGATGAAGGTTGATCTGTGTGAATCTAATTGGTAGATGTGTGAGCAAATAGCATTCGCGTGCACCATTTTAAAATATTGGACTGAAACGGACTTAATCTTAATTTTGAGCACGAGAATTGGTACATTAGTGGCAGTCAATTGACAATGTCCACCATTCCCCTACCCCCCAGTTCTATTTTATTATTATTTTAAGCCAAACGAAGTAGTTGTATGCGTTTTTGTAATTATCAACATCATGCGTTTAATTTTTGCGAATTTTTGCTGGCTGTACCATAGATTCCAGCAAAAATAAAATTTACTAATTCTGCAAAGTAAACTACACTTCATTGTGAACTTTAATTCCGTGCAAACCGAAAATAAATCAAGCTGTCACACAGGACAGTTCATACACTTTTTCTTTTCATATTTTACTTGACATGTGAATGTGAGAGAATGTATGAGAATGTGAAGATGCGTCGACAGTCCCTATGCCCCGCTGCGCATCTGACGATGAGAAATTCCACGCCACTCAACTCGTTCTGCTCGGCGCGTCGCGTCGCAGTTGCTGCGCCCCGCCCGGGCTGAGCCGCGCTTCCCGTCCTTTCCCTCCCCTGGGCTCTGCTCCTGCCGAGTCTCGCCTGCGCCGCCAGCCGTCTTGTTCCCACGGCTAAGTTACACGATGGAAACCTGAAAAGAATGAATGGCGACGGGGAAGGACGTCGATGTGCTGGAATGGGAGGCGCAGGCGTGGGGGCCGTGGGGGCGCGCGCTGCGTGCGGGAGGGAGAGGCCACCCCGCCTCATCAGAAGCTCCCTCGTCCTCCAACCCCGCCACGCTCACTTCTGCCCTGCTTCGACGGTCCGCTGACTTTCGCTTTGCAGTTGTTCGGTAGGCGCAGCTGGTTCGGCCGTTGATCAGAAAACTGTTGGCGCGGAACGGAACTTGGGAGGAAGCTCCGGAGGAGCCGGCCCTCTGCGTGCGTACTGAATGGCGGTAATCCTCACCAGCTAGCGA